CCCCTGCTCCCACGCCGTTGCCTACCCCTTTCTCTGCTCCTTCGCAAGAAATAAAGAAAGAAAGTGAGTGATTCCCTCTTGTTGCCACTTAATTTCTGCTGTGCCCGGCCAGACAGCGCGACGCCTTAGCCTGACTCCCGGCCGCAGCCGCAGCCGCAGCCGCAGCTTTGTCTTTTTCCATACACTGCCAACTGCTAGGCAAAGCGGGTATATTTGTGTGTCCGCATCACAACTAATACTATAAGCATAGATGAATTTGCAACAAATGTGAATCGCTTTAGCTGCGTTTAGCTTGAGGACCACAGAGAGGAGCACAGCGGGAGAGTTGCACGTGTAAAGTCACAGTTGGTGAGTGAAAAGTCACAGTGAAAAGAACAGTCACAGTCACAATTGCGGGGCTATAGTCGTAGCAGCGTCAATGCAGAGTCAAAAATAAAGAGTCTCAGGGCAGACGAGAAGAAGCAAAGCTGTGAAGTGAAGAGTCACAGCTGTCAGCACTTAGTTGAACAGTTACTGAGGCAGAGTTAAAGTTCAAAAGTCATAGTTGGCGAATCACAGTTAAAAAGTCACAGTCAGAATGAATTAAAATGGTAAAGTCACAGTGAATATGTCACAGTGAAGATATCACAGTGAAGAAGTCACAGAGAAGAAGTCAAAGTGAAAAGGTCACAGCGAAAAAGTTACAGTGAATATGTAACAGTGAAAATGTCACAGTAAAAAGTCACAGTGAAAAAATCACAGTAAAAAGTCACAGTGAAAAAGTCACAGTGAAAAAGTCACAGTAAAAAGTCACCGCCAGCGAATTCATAGTGAGAATCAGCGACTGTGGCAAAAAGTGACAGTGAAAAAGTCACAATGATGGAGTCACAGCTCAAAAATCACACTTCGTCAAGTCTTGTGAGAGTGGGAAATGTCACAGTTTAACGGACAAAGCACGCTCACAGTTAAAGTCACAGTTTTGAAGACAGAATTCCTAAGTCACAGTCACGAGCTCTATTGATGCAGTCACAGCTAGCAGCAGTTCCACTTTGCCAATCAAAAGAGAGGAAAAGTCTCAGAATCAAAGTTTTACAGTCACACCTGAGGCGTTACAGTTTTGCAGTCAGTATGTATAGGTGTATGTGTGTGTGTGTGTGTAGAGGTGTGCATGTGTGCCTGTCGCTGCTTTTCAATTAGCCAATTAGCTCAGCTAGCGAGGAGGGCATCTAGCAGCTGCTAGGACTCAGCTCAGCTGACGGCTCACGGCTTTCGGCCCGTCTTAGTAGTCGCAGCTTGTCCTTGCGCCGCCCCCTGCCCCTTCTCAACTGTTACGCCCGTTTTTTGGCTTTTTTGGGCGCCATCCATCATAGAGTTGGACCATTCGCAATGCGAGAAATCATTTGCGTTTTCAGCTTTCACCTTCCACACGGCCCCAGACGCCGGCGAGTCCCGCGCTGGAGCAAACCCCTTTTTGACATCTGCCGCTGATGCGTTTCGCATGCTGATCCTGGCGAAGTCGTCGTGTTGACTTTTCCATTTGCCTTGGCAATTTTCTTGCACTGAGCTTTTTTCTTTGAACATGACGCGTCGCGGCTTTGCTACGCGCGCGCCTAGTATCCTGCGGGCTTTGTTTATCCATCTATTTGTATAAGCTGCATGCGCGTGTGTGTGTGTGTGTTTGTGTGTGTGTGTGTGTGTGTGTGTGGTGTTTGCTTACATGTGTAAATTACTTTTCAATCTTGTGATTACTTTCTTTTTTTTCTTGGCATTTAATTATTTTAATTACGGCCCGGCGCACAGACGGGTACAAGTTCGGTTCAGCTCCAAAGAACCAGTTCATCTTAAATTGCAACTTTAGTGGAAATGCAAAGCGAAGCGACTCTCGCCGAAGTCTTTTATGGGCAGTCACACCGCAGCAGATGTAGAACATTAACTTATTCATAAAAATAACTATTAAAACTTCAGCGAAAGCGGGTTAAAAGACTCGACTCTGTGCCTCATTCAATATTTAAGAAACTGTCTTTAGTATAAGAACGCCTTACTATGCAATTCTCATGGCAATGTCTTAAGAAACTATGAACACATTTCGAATTTCTTAAAGACAGTTTTATAAAATGTAGAACTTGTTTGCATACAGATTCGAATTTAAGACTACAGCCTGGCTAGAAGGTTATTTGATCAATGAACTAGTTCACTCAAAGACACTTAAAACAATTCATAATTGCATTCAACACGGCTACAACGATATATGATCAATGAACTAGTTCACTTAATGCCTCTGGGACACTTGAGTCCATTACAATACTATCTGAACAATGAACCAGTTCACCTTAAAGTAGTTCCAATTTGTATTTCATTCATAGTTCATCATTCAAAAATTAGTTCCACTAAACAGCTTTATACAATATCTATATAATATATATATAACATTGCTCCAAAGTATTTGGATTCAGTTCGTATTTCAATTGCTTCAGGAACAACTTGGCACAGATAAGGAACAGCATATATTTAGAAGTCAGGCACATATATATAAAGTCATATATTTAAAGTCAGCTCAGAAATTTGTTCGGTAAAGTAGTTAAAAATTTAATGCGATTTAAATTCCGTAAAGTTCTCACGCCAAACTTTCGTGAACTGCGAGAAAGTTCAGAACAAAATCGATAGACTACGCACATAACCTCACCAAAAAAGGCCTTTAAATATAATATGTATATATATATGTGTATATACGTATATATATTTGATTGTTGTGGTCTATACGAAAATGTCTAGAAAGTTTGTTTGAAACACTTGCAAATATGCCGCGAACTATGCAAAAACTTTTCGTGAACTTTACCAAAAAACAAAAAAAAAACGGAACTAGTTAATTGGAACTTAGTGGCAAGCAGTACCATAAGGGAACTAGTTTACTTGAACTGTGTGTGAAATGCACCAAAGTAATGAAAAAAAAACTTGTTCATTTGAACTGACTCAAAAGCACAACAAGAAACTTGTTCAGCAAGCAAGTTTGTTCAAGTGCAACAGTGCAAAAACTAGTTCATTTAAACTGAACGGAACTGAACTGAACTGAACTGAACTGAAAAGCACCAACATTGCAAACTAGTTCTATTGAACCAAACCATCTGATCGTGGCTAATTCTGTGTAGCTGCACTTTGCGCCGCTGCCACAGCTATCGCTGCTGCCACTGATTCAGTCGTCGGCTGCTAAATCACAAAGCTGCGTCACTAATGAGACGACAGCAGCAGCAGCAGCAGCAACAGCAGCGACGGCTGCGACGGCAGCGGTGACAGCTGCTGAGCAGCTGATAAGCCATGCATATTCAGAATCGGAATCGGAGTTTGAATTTTTTTGGGTGAGTGATCGAGAAATCTAAAAACAAAAACAAGAAAACAACAAAAATTTGCCTGCCAATCCAGCTGCGGACGGCGCGTCGCACGCGTCTGCGGACTGCGCCCGACAACGGGATAAACTCATTTGTGAATAGCAGCAGCAGAAGCAGCAGCAGAAACAGCAGCGACAGCAGAGGCAGCGACGCGACAGCGAAAGCAGTTGACGGCGCTGCTGGAATTTACAATTAGCGTGCAAGAGATAAAAGGCAAATCAGCGCTGAGGGCGGCTGGCTGCAGGAATGCGCTGCCTCTTTTTTCGGACAACACACACACACACATGCACAGCGCTGCCACGTACTGCGCCGACTCGGTGGCTGGCATACTTGCGCGTATAACAGTTGCGACAACTGTGCTAAGCACAAGCTGGGGAAGGCAAGCGCACGAGACGACGCGCAAAAGCCGACGACGCTGACGATTCGTGTTTACTCCGAAAACAGTACAGCTGCGTTTGTGTGTGTGTGTGTGCGTGTTGTGTATCGGCGGCAGCAGCAGCGACGCTGACGCTGGCATCGGCAGCAAAAATTTGGCTGCAATTTTCATTGCGTTCGAAAGTTCGACAACTTTGGAAAACTGTCAGTTAGCAGCGAACTTAGAACAGGTAGAGACGCACGTTTTCGGGCTTCCTCCTGAGCCAGCAAGTAGAAGAAGAAGCAGCAGCAGCAGGCAGGCAAGCAGGCGCAGGCAGCAAGCAGAGAAAGAGGAAGCAGCAACAACAGTTACGCGAACTTTACGAAGTTTCGTCGCGTCGTCGTCGTCGTCGTCGTTGTCGTTGTCGTGTGTGCCGAGTGACGATTGCATACGCCTCTAAGCGTCCCGTCCCCTCTCCACGCCCCTGTAGCCCACACCCCACTGCCAATCCCGACGCAGCCGATGCGTTCGCTGTCGACGCTGCGTCGACGCCGACTGCGGCGCTAACGTGTTTGTGTGACGGCCAGCCGCTGCCGATGTGAAATTTTATTACCCCAAACGCAACGCAGCAGTCGGTTTTTGGACGTCCGGACTTCACGCCGCCAAAAAGAAATCGCCGCTCAACGGCTTATTGCAACTCAGCCGCGCAACAACAACAACAATAATCGACACTCACAAAAAAAAAGAAAATAACCAAAAACAAAAAAAAGAAAACTTTGCGCGCGGCATCAAAAGTTAAAAACAAACTTTTGCCAAACTACGCGACGCGCGCCCAACTTAACAAAGTTTCGCCTCGCTGCAGCCCGTCGCCTAAAGGAAGCGAACAACAACAGCAGCAGCAACAACAACAAAATAGAAAAGAAAAAGGAAAAACAAAAAACAAAAAAAAAAATAAAACAAATTTTAAAGTGACGTCGTCGCCGTCGCCGTCACCGCCGCCGCTGCCGTCGCTGACGTCGACGTCGGCCTAAAACTAAGCTCAAAGTCGAGCAAAGTGCGCGCGTTAATTGATATTGCGTATACGCCACGGCAGCCCCAAACAAAACAATCGAGTTCTTGTGTTGCTTCTTGCGGCTTCTTCTTCTTTTTTTCTTTCGGCGTCGCCCCAAAAATACACATAAATCCAGATCCAAGTGCAGTGCAATATATATATATATATATATCTACATTGATCTATATAGTAAACAAATTTTTTGTTATTTTTCTGTGAGTGCGTGTGCGTGTCTGCGTGTGCGTGTGTGTGCGCGCGCGTGTGTTAGTGTGTGCAGCATGCAGCATGGCAAACCTGCAACAGTCACAAGATCTCTAAAGTGCAACACACAATAAAACGTAAAAGAGACAAATAAAAATACCCAAAACAAAGCTAAACCGAATCTCACAATTATCAAATAGGTAAAGTTCAAATTTTCTCAATCTAAATGTAAAAAAAAGAAAAACAGAAAATGAAGAAATAAAAACTTTAAAGCTCGTAACATCCAGGAACTCTATATTTAGTCTATTAGTCTAACTAAGTAAAACCCATTAAAAAGTATTCAAAATACTAAAACAACAAGTAGAAATTCAATGCAACAAGAAAAATCACATTGAAAATTTTTGCAAGCTAAAAAAATACGAAAAAAATAAGAAAATGAAAATGAAAATTTTCCCTATTCATCTAATGCCATCTAATATACATCACAAACATGTCTAAGCCAGTGTTGTACAACTCTATAATTTGTTCCACAAAAAAAACAACTTTTTTCTTTTATGCTTCAAATTTCAGTTGAGCGCAACAAAATCTGTTGCCTAGCTTTAGGCGCGAGCTCTAAGTGAAGATGTGAACCATATAAATATATATAGGCTTGCTCATATACATGCAAATATGTATATATACTATATACTATATACCATATAGACACTAGAACACAGACTTGACAAACGCCCAGCTATCTTCATAGAGAACAAATTATATCTCGAGCTAAATTGATATTCTAAAGTCTAAGGCTGAAGAGGGCCCCACATGTCTCAACTCAAGTTGGCCTAAACGAGTTCTACAAGATTTGCATTTATAGTTAAGAAAAAATAGATTTTAGAACTCAGTTTAGATCAACCTAAGAGCAGATGAAGCTTTCTTCACCTATATTAAAACCATTTCATAAGGAGTAACAGACATAGTAAGCGATCTGCCTTGCAGTATAGTCAGCCTGATCCATGACAAAATTCTTGAGTCTAACCAAGTTCTTACTCACTAGCCTATGCTACATACCAAATAGATAGCTTGAAACCTGATTAGATACAGATACAGATACAGATAGTATTATTAGTGCTTAGGAATATATAAAGTGCTCCCATAAAAGGTCAAGCCAAACTGAAGTCGAATCGTTTGAGCTGAGTATACAGAACTTGGTAGAATTTCACAAGCTTAAATAAATTTCCAGTAAGCTTAGATTCATTTTCAATATAAAACTAAAAAGAAAAATCCAGATATAAAGCCATTTAGTATTATTCATACAGCTTTAGCCAATCAGAGTTGGAGCTCCAGCTTCCGATCCGAGGCAACCCAAACAAGAGCTATAGCTTAACAAATTGCCTTACCTTAAAAACAGTTCAAGATATAACAGTATTTCTGGTTGTATATGGAAGTTAGAGTCATGCCATTAGATATAATGTAATCTAAATATATATATAAATATATATATATATATATTACATAGATTAGTTGCAATTGAGGTCCTGCTTCAGTGCCAACTCCAGCATAAGTCAGTTAAAGTTTTATTTAAAATAGTTAAAATACTTTCACACATGTAATAATCGTAAATCTTTTTCTGCTCAAATGGCAAAGCATTATATGGGCCACAAAATAATCTATTATCGATAACTCAAACAGCTGCTTAAATATTGTTATCGGAAATAGTAACACGCTTGCTGGGTCAGCATAAAATCCTTATTTCAATATAATTAAAAAATTGATTGGAGTTTATATAATTCTTGAAATATTTTTAAGCATTCGACAGTCGTTAAACGTTTGCTACTCAAATGGCAGAGCTCATAAAATGGTTCAAAAATAAGCCGTTATCGATAACTCAAACAGCTGCTGACATATCGGTATCGGAAATAGTAACACGCCTGGTGGGTCAGCTCCTGCAAATAGCTATTCATGCAAAACTCTCAATTTGAGCTTGGACAATTCTTGTCCAGAGTAACTTGACGTTCATTAGAAGCAAGAAGAAGAGCAAGAGGATGCAGCATTATGCATTCCCTGTGCATCTGTCGTCTATGAAATCAACTAACTAACGTTTTTTTGTCAGTGTATAACTTATGTTTTCGACTTGAAATATTTTTTAACATTTTTTTTTTTAATTTTTTTTTTATTAAGAATTTTTTTTATGCAATTTTTTTTTGCACAGCAATTGTTGCTGCTGCGGTTGCTGCAGCTGCGGCTGCTGCGGCTATTGCATGATAACAATAACTCCACCTGCTTGATCCCAATTCCCACTCAAATAAACTCTCTTTGCCCTGTTTTTTGCATAACGCTACTAACATTTAGCCGTAAGTAAAAACAACTAACAACAAAAACAAATACCAAACCAAACCAAACCAAAAAAAAATACCACAAAAAATACCAAAACCAATTTTGAGCTCACATGAAAACATTTGTTGTTAAGGCATTTTGGCAACTGGCAAACTGGCAAAAATGGCGCTGTCCAAGCGGCCCTTAAACAAGGAGACGCCCTTGGTCGAGAGCAGCAGCAACAGCAGCAACAGCAACAGCAACAACAGCAGCAACAGCAACAACAGCAACAGCAACAGCAATGAGCATGAGACGTCTATAAAGCGACGCAAACGCTGCAGTCGCGATGATGAATTAGCTGCCAGCAACAACAACAACAACAACAATAACAACAACAACACAACCAGCAACAACAACAACACATTGCCACAGAAGAAACGACAATTGGCTAAGGCAGCAAGCGGCGACAGCAACATTCCGACAGCAGCAACAGCGGCAACAGCAGCCACAGCAATGCCCAAATCAACAGCAACTGTTGCCGCCGCTCAGGATGTTGCCGATCAGGATGACGAGACATTGATACGCGAGACCCAAGCGGCGCTCAAGAGTCTCTCGGGCAGTTGGCCCGATGCGCGCACCAATCTGTATCGTCTGCAGGAACAGGAGGATGAGAATCCGCCGCCATTTCAGAATCTGTTCGAGGAGAAGCAAAAGTATGCGAACAGCAACAGCAACAGCAGCAGCAATGGCAACAGCAACAGCAACAGCAGTGGCAGTGGCAACAGCAATTCTCACACATTGCTGCTACGCTTTCACAGGCAAAAGGAGAACGATCAGGCGCGTCTTAATGCCAGCAACAACAACATCAGCAACAACAACAGCAATAACAACAACAACAACAGCAGCAGCAACAACAACAACATCAACAACAGCAGCAGCATCAACAGCAACAAAAAGGATGACAACACATCCGGCTACACACAAGCAACATCCGCCTTCAAGCCGCCCATCGACATCATCAAGCGCAACGGTCAATTGGCCGCTGCAGCCGCTGCCCACGCCCACGCCCAGGCCCAGGCACACGCGCACGCCCAGGCGCAGGCCTACGCCCATGCACAGTATACGAGCAGCGCCTACAATGCCGCTGAGGCCTACTATGGCTATGCAGCAGCCGCTGCTGCCAGCCAGCAGCAGCAGCAACAGCAGCAGCAACAGCAACAGCAGCAGCAACACGGCCTCTGCCTCGATCAGAGTCGCAGCTATGAGATGGCGCCGCAGCTGGGCTCGCCCAACGAGCCGCGGCTGGCCAAGGCTGTTGGCAAGGAGCCGCTGATGGATGCCAAACAGTATACGATATTGCAGCCAGCGGGCGTTGGCAGTCGAGCGGCCTCGGTGATGCAGGACATTGCACGTGAGGGCGTTGTTGGTGTTGCGCCCACGACGACAGCAACAGCAGCAGCAGCGGCGGCGGCGGCGGCAGCAGCGGCAGCTACAGCAGCGGCGACAGCCACAGCGGCGGCAACAGCAACAGCTGCACCCACAGCAACAGCCACGCCCTTAGCAGCAGTTACGCCCACAGCAACAATAGCAGCAGCAGCAGCAGCAGCATCTACGCCAGCGCCCAGCTACTCGCCGGGCAGTCAAAATCGCGGTAAGTTGTTGTCGTTGTTACTAGACACACACCAAAAAAAAAAAAAAGCTGAAAACGGCTTAAAAAAGGCTAAAAAGTCTAAAAATCTAAGCTCCAAAGCGAAAGCTATCAACAACTCCATTGAACTGGCATTGCTGCTGTGTTAATGGCTCCGCTTCCGGCGCCACTTTCAGTGCCAGTTACAGCTGCACCCATAAACCGAAAACCTGCCCCAACCCCCAATCAGCCCCGATCAAACCCTCCATCCCCCAAACCATCCACACATTTAACTTAAAAAAAAAAACATAAATTCGGCGAAACTTCTTGTTGCATTGAGTTTTAAGACAAATTGGCTTAGAAATAACTAGACATAGAGTGCGTGAGAGAGAGAGAGAGTGAGAGAGAGAGAGAGAGTGAGAGAGAAAGGAGAGAAACACAGAGAGAGTGTGTGTGTGTGTGTGAGTGCGTGTACGTGTGCTACGATCACACTTATTGCTCTACAAATATTCGATTCACTTTGGCAATGTGCCCCTTGAGTTGTTGTTGTTATTATTATCATCATTATTGCTGTTGTTGTTGTTGTTGCTATTATTATTATTTGCACATTTAGCCAGAATTGGCTGGCAACCTCAACACAGCTCCCACTCAGCTCTCCGCCGCAGAGCTCAAAGCTTTTGTCGTTAGAAAATTTCTGGTTGTGTGGTCTTTGAGGCTGGAGGCGGTTGTCGGTGGGCGTGGCGCTTGCGACGTGGTCCACAGCGGAGGCAAGGCATTTAATGGCTTGTAAAACATCTACACACATACACGCACACACACACACACGTGTGCCTAGAGATGACAAAAGCTAAATCAAATTTTTTATTAAAAATTTAAAAAAAATTATTTGAAAAAAATATTTATAAATGTTTATGACATAATTAAAAAAGAAATAGCAATTTAATTTTACCTACATATTTAATATATAATAAAGCGTATTATATCACTACAAATAATAAATAAATATATAAAAATATAAAAAAATTACGAAACATTTAAGAAATTATTCTTTAAAAAAATATTAAGCTAAAAAACAAAACTAAAATATAAAAACTTAAAAAATAAATAAAAACAAAATTTTAAATTAATAAGGAACAAATATCATTCATAAAAACAGAATGGAAATGAGATTATAAGACAGGAAACCAAAATAAAAAATTTAACTTAAAATATATTTAAAAAAAAAAAAAACAAAAAATATTTTAAATTGAAAATATTTTATAAAAAGGTTTTTCGTACATCATATCGTACATTTATTTTTTCTTATTTATACTAGAAATGTTTATCGTTTATCGATAAGAATATCCTTTGAAAAATTCAATAAGTTCAGCTTTTTCTGTTTTCTTGTCGTATAACTGTTAATATAGCTATATTTTCCAATGAGGCGCTTGCTTTTATGCATATACTCTTAATGTTTATCGTTTATCGATAACGCTACTGTGAGCCGATGACTGTTTCAAGTAGCTTTTCTTAACTTTTGCGTCTTCAGAAACATAAGCTCATCTCTAGGCACACACATACCAACACGTGCACCCCACACACACACACACACACACACACTAGTTGAGTAGCTGCTCGTTTTGGTTTTTGAGCCTCTTTCACTAATTTCAGCGCACATTATACAAATTTATAAAATTGAACACTCGTTGTCAAAAAGCGAACAGACAAAACATGTCTACACACGCACACACACGCACACACACACACACACACGCGTATGTGAAAGGGTAAATATGAGAGGCACGTTTCTGGCAACTGCTTTTGCATATTTATTTTGTCATTATGTGCTGGCATTAATATGCTCAGAGCTCTAAAACCTAAAGCCAAGGGCACAAAAGATTCAAGTGCTCTTAAGCCAGGCACAAACACACAACCACACACACACACACGCACACACACAGAGCATATTTTCACTCTGGTATTCATATAATTTGAATGACTTTTTAAATAGTTGCGAGAGCGAGACAGAGAGAGGGAGAGAGATGCAAAACTAGTTGACAAAGGCACGTAATAAGTCATTAGCGTGTTGCCGTTAGCCACTTTTAGCCGGTCTGATTAGGCTTAAGCCCGGAGATACCCTGTATTTGGGCATTGCAGGCGTTTCGCTTCATTTTAATTAAATTCTAATTACGACAAAATGAGCTCAGTTTTTTGCTTGCAGTTTGACATTGTGAACGGCCACGTAATAGACACACACACACACACACACACACACACTTATGCATAAATATTTCGAAAAATATTTCATTAAGCCTTCGCCTCTAGCTGCTGCTGTTGCTGTTGCTGTCTGTTACAGCAGCAACATGCGCGCTGTGTGTGCGTGTGTGTGTGAATGTGTGTTGTGTGTGCGTGTGTGTTGTGTGTGTATTGTGCTGTGACGTTATCTTTCAGAATTTGTGCTTAGAAGGCCAAGTTTAGACGTGGTCTGGTTGATTTTTGGCTGCGAAGTTTTTGTTTTTTATGCGCCCACAACAGCAGCAACTGCTGTCATGTGTGTGTGCCGATGTGTGTGCTGGTGTGTGTGTGCTCTTTTTAAAGTAAATAATGCAAAGCTGTTTTCCATCAAATTTTAATTAATTATTTAGGCAAAAGAATGCGCTGTCTGTCTTTTTTAACATTTAGTTGTTGCTCCTGTCGCTGCTGTTGCTGTTGCTGTTGCTGTTGCTGTTGTCGGCGTGTGCGTCTTGTCAGCTGTACATTTTGTTAGAATATTTTTCTTGCCATGAACATGTCACAGCCCTGATACCCTTAGCTGCTGCTGCTGCTGCCGCTTGACGCATTCACATAATTAATTAGAAAACCTGTTAGCCTCCCTCCCTTTGCTCGCTCGCTCGCTGTTCAAGCTGCTGTCACATTGTTGGCTAGGCATGTGTGTGTGTGTGTGTGTGTGTGCGTGTGTGTGTCTAGTTGTTGCCTTGATTTGATTTCATTTTGTTACTTGGTTACTTGTAGATGGCGCCAAATGCCCAACTCCTCATTGCACTGGCCAAGGACATGTCACAGGATTATATTCGCATCATCGAAGGTACAGCTTACACAACACCAACACCAACACACACACACACACACACACACTCAACTCAAGCTCAATTGTAAGCTTCTCTTTTTACTTCTATATCTCCACGCGCCTCTTCGCTTGGCCAGTTTGTCGGGTTGTCCGAAGCGCGATAAAGTCACAACGGAATGTAAGTGCCCAAAAGTTTCGTATTTTGTAGCGCCTATGTAGATCGATATCTCTATCTCTCTATCTCTCTGTCTCTTTCACTCTCTCTGTCTCTCACTCTCTAACTAGAGCTTAACATATGTCCTACTACAGCTGTGTTAATCTCTCTAGTACTCTGTCTCTCTCTCACTCTTACTCTCCCTCTCTCTCTATCTCTTTTCATAGCTCTATCTCTCTCTTATCGTAGCATGCTGACTTCTTAGTTTGTGTATGTATGTAGTTGTGTGTGTGTGTAAGTCTGCTTAGGTTAGGTACTACATCTTCCTGCCTCTCTCTTCGTCTCTCTCTCTCTGTCTCTCTGAATATCCATATCTCTCTCTCGCTCATTGAATCTCTTGTCTTTCCGTCTATCTCTATGAATCTTTTCCTCCCTGAATCTCTCTCTCTCTCTCTCTCTCTCTCTCTCTCTCTCTCTCTCTCTCTCTCTCTCTCTCTCTGAATATCTCCAAATACTTCTTGGTCTCTCTCTCTGATGCACTCTTTCTCTCTGAATCTTTCTCGATAACTCCATATCACGCGCTCGCTCTCTCTGTGTGAATATGTGATGCTTCCACCTTCTCTCCCTCTCGCTCTTGCTTTATCAAGCTCCCCCTCTCTCTCAATAACTGACACTCTATCACTCTGAGTCTGAAATTCTCTCTGAATCTCTAATTTTATATGTCTTTCTCTCTCTCTCTATCTATTTATGCATTTCTATCTGAAACTCTCTTATCGCTTATCTATCTTGGCTCGATATATATGCTAACTTTCATCTATGCTTCATCAAAGCGCTCTCTTCTCTCTCTCATTCTCTCGCTCTATCTCTCTCTTCTCTCTCTAAGTTATATTAAAGGCTGTCAAATATCCCTTCCAACCTCTTTCAAAGCAATCATTAGCTCTCTCTCTCTCTTTGCCTCTCTTCTCTTAGCACTAAAAATCTCTCTTGACTCACTCTAAGCTCTCTTAGCTTTTCTTTCACTCTTTAGCTGAAGTAGGATTTGCTCTAGTTGTGATCAGGAAATTCAACTCCTCTCTCTCTCTCTCTCTCTCTATTTCTCTCTCTCTTCTCTTTCAACCACTATTTGATGTACGTATGCTTGTTGTTGTGTGTCTCGTAGTGTGTAATGGCAGCCTGTGTTAGTGTCTTAGCGGCTTAGAGTCTTAGCCCACTTACTGACAATTAACTAATGACACTCACCCCTCACTCGTTCCCCCACCCCACCCAATACCCGTTGGATCGTCCTGCTCCTACAACCAATGACACCTGAACCGCAGTGCTGGCGTTGCACGAACAGATATTGAAATGCCCCACGCCTGGCTGCAACGGACGGGGACACGTTCAGCCGCATCGGAGCGTGCATCGCAGCCTGTCCGGCTGTCCGCGGGCTGTACGGCGCTTGACAGCTCGTCGATCGGTGGTTGGGCGGTATCAGTCGATGTGCGTGAGCGTGAGCGATAACCCGATAGCGATAGCGTTGCCATTGCCCTTGCCATTGCCACTAGCGGTAGGCGGAGTCGATAGCGATAGCGATAGCGATAACGATAACGATAACGATAACACGGCAGGTGCGTTCTATCGCCTGTCTGACAATCAAGCAATTAAAACCTTCAAATATTCCTTAATAAAAATAAACTTTATAATTAAATCAAAATTTAAATCAAAATCAAAATGAAAAAGCTTCAACAAAAAGTTTTAACAATTTATTTTGCGCTCTCTCCTGCTCCCTCTCTATCTATCTCTCACTCTATATCCCACTCTCCCTCTCTCTCCCTCTCTCTCTCCCTACAAACAATCAATTTCTCTCTTTCATGCTCTCTTTCTATCTCTTATACTCTCACTCTCTCATCATCTCTTCTATTTCTGCATATCATTCTTTCTCTCATACTCTCTCTGTCTCTTTCTCTATATATTTCTCTCTCTCTCTATCTCTCTCTCTCTCTCTTTCTCTCATGCACACACAATTTCTCTCTCTCCCCCTTTCTCTCTCTCTCTCTCTCTCTCTCTCTCTGCATCTCTGTCCATCTCTTTGGCGCTGTGCGCAGCTGGCGAACTGGAGAAGCATGAGAAGGAGCTGCATGCGCTGGACAAGCTCAAGATCAGTTCTAGCCATTATTTGAACAACAACAACAGCAGCTGCATCAACAACAACAACACAAATAACAACAACAACAACAACAACAAAACGATGCCCATTATCAAAACGGAATACAGTCCGGTGGCCAGCATTAAGTCGGAATATAACAAAAGTCCCATGCACTCTTACTTGGCCAACGATGCCGCTGCAGCGGCCAGCAGCGCAATACCCGCTGGCAGTGCGCGCAGCAGCAACAGCAACGGCAACAGCAACAACAACAACAGCAGCAACAACAGCGAAGCGCACTTGAGTCGCTTCGTTAGCATGCAAAGTCCACACGCGCAGCATCACCAGCAGCAGCAACAGCAGCAGCAGCAGCAGCAGCAGCAGCAACAGCAGCAACACACGCTGCATCAGCAACGCGGACCCTTTATCGAGGGCAATGCCACACAGATGATGCCCGCGGGCAATGCCAGCGCCGGCGATGCCAACGATCCAGCCAGCTACCACACAGAGCACCAGCAGCAGCAGCAGCAGCAGCAGCAGCAGGCTGACGAGCGTCAGCAGCAATATGAACAGATGCGCTATGCCCAGAGCCATGGCCATGATCCGAGCGCGGAGCAGCAACAGTTGCTCGCCAGCAATCCAAGCAGCAGCGAGCTGTCGCCGGTGACAGCGCGCAGTGCCTATGAGCATACGCATCCACATCCGCATCCGCATCCGCATCCGCATCCGCACTCGCACTCGCATCCACACACACATCCGCCGGGAACAGTGGCGCCCGTGTTCGTTGGCCTCGGCGTTGGCGACTCAGTGAGCGGCGGCGGCGGCGGCAGCGGCACAGCGGGCTTCGAGCGCTACGATCCAAATTGCTGTCCCAGCGGCGGGCAGCGACTGCAGCCGGGCGTCACAGCGGCCACAGCGCCCGCCAACATGTATCACTATTTGCCGCAGACGGCGGATGACTTGCAGGCGCAGCAGCAGAAATATTTGCAGGAGCAGCAGCTGCTGATGGCCAAGGCCGAGCACGAGGAGCTGGCCAATGGGGGCGGGCCCATCTATCCGCGGCCCATGTATCACTACGATCCGACAATGGGGCCGCTGCCGCCGGGCTTCTCGGCCATTAACTTGTCGGTGAAGATGGCTGCGGCGCAGGCGGCAGCAGCAGCAGCTGCCTATCAAAATCAACAGCAGCAGCAGCAGCAACAGCAGCAGCAGCAGCAGCAACAGCAACAGCAACAGCAGCAACAACAGCAACAGCAGCAGCAACATCTCCAGCAGCAACAGCAGCAGCAGCAGCACAACAAACAGAGCAGTTCGCCTACGCCAAATGTGGGCGTGGCAGCGCCAGCTGTTGACCTATCGGGCGCCACATCGGTAACATCGTCCAGCCCGCACGGTTTCAACTCGCCAGCCTCGCACAACCAATACAACCAGCGCATGGGCAACGGCAGCCCACAGCCGGGCGCCAGCCCCAACATTGCCAGCCCCCAAGTGCCGAGTCCGCAGGGCCAGACGCTCGATCTGAGCGTTACGCGTTTGCCGCACAGGTAAGACCGAACAAAGCCCCAGCTCCCGCCCCCACCTCTTTACCCAGCATCCAAAGCCCACGCCAGAACTTGCCCAGGCTCAACTTGACTTCAAGATTTATAATATTTTGGTTTAATTACTTATTAATTACTTATTAATTACTTGTTAATTACTATTTAATTACTCTTATATGATTGTTTTCATATTGATTTGTGCACTCTCTCCAGCATACTGACACAGAGCAAAGCTTGTCATACAACATGTGTCAAATATCTCATAAAACACGTTTTTGACCTCTAGTAACTCAGGAACTATTGGAGCTAGCGTTACCAAACCTGGTACACTCGCTCTTATGTAACTTATAAGCTTCATTTGTTGTTCATTTCTTAAAAATATTGCGTCGTGCTCATAATAAGCTAGACTAAGACATGATATAGGGCTAACTTACAGCAATAATCTAGATAGATTACACTTAACTTAATTTCTAATTACAAAAATTACATTCGAATTGAATGTAATAGTCGTAAATACTTAGTATTAAGTCATATCTTAATAGAGCTTTCTTATACCAGGCAGGTAGAGCTTGAAAGCTAATGAACTACGATAAGAAAATCATGTTGAAAAGTGATTGTGCAACCAAATAGTGCTCATTCTTCTGATTAGAAAGGCATTTTTATACTTATTATAAGAAAAAGACTATCCTTAGTTAATACTGTGCTCAAGGAACTCGGCGACTGCCAAAGCTAGAGCTGCATCATTTGATAAATTAAGCTGGAAAATAACTAATACACACTGATATATGTGAATAATCCAGCTAAATATTGATCAACTTTATCTAGAGAATTTGGAGACATATATTTATAAAGAATAAGATATAGAAACTGCAACTGAGTAACAATTTAAAACAAGTTTTCTCTGACCTCATCTGACCCCAAGGAACTCAGAGACCTTAAGAGCAAGAAGCCCAACATTTGATATCTAATCATTTAAATCTAAAGAAAACCAAAATAAACTAATTTTCAGCAAGTTTTCCCCATATACAAACTCATCTAACCCCAAGGAACTCAGAGACCTTAAGAGCAAGAAGTCTAAAATTTGATATCTAATCATTTAAATCTAGAGAAAACCAAAATAAACTAATTTTCAGCAACTTTTCCCCATATATGAACTCATCTGACCTCAAGGAACTCAGAGACTTTACGAGTTACAGTACCCAAATTTAATATCTAAGCTCTAGGTATCTCCCTCTGTGTATGCCCGTCATTCAGTCAGTCTCAGGTCTAGGGCTACTTAACTTTATATATAAATATAAGCAGGCATGGCAGGCAAGCCAAGTGGAAAGTTTCCTCTATTAATAGGTTTCCGTCTCTTTTTTGAATAGCATCATCACGAGCCCGCAGTACGGCGCCGACGGCCTTGTTGTGGGCCACGGTCAGGGCTTTGGGAGCGCTGCGCCCGGCTCGATCGGACCGAACGGACCGCCGCGTTCACCACAAATGGAGCCAGTGGACTTTAGCGGACCGCCACGTCCGCTTGGCTTTGGCCTGGTGGGTCACATCAGCGGACCGCGGCCATACAGTCGCGAATCAACGCCCGACAGCGGCGGCTCACACTATATCGAGACGTACCGAGATCCGAGCGGTAAGTCCTCAACGGAATATCACATCATATAGCATACATCACTTATCTGCTATCATATCACATAATCCATTCCTCTTTATTGCCCTCTCCATTGCAGGCTATTCACCACATCCTGGCTACGGCATGGTAGTTCAATCGGACTATCCGCCAGCTGGCTATCATGGCTATGGCCCCGCCGCCTATCAGTGCAGCAATCCGTACGCGACGGCCGTTGGGCCCGGCGGCTATCCGACGCCCGTTTCCGGCGGCTATTCACCCAGTCCGGCCACCTGCTACTCGATGCCACCGCCGCAGCACATACCGCAGCACGACAAGACCAAAGATGGGTAAGTCCTCTCCCTAATCTAATATGCAATTAGTGAAAAGTCCCCGCCCGATAAGCGCTCTTGATGGACAGTGTGTGCCATCCATCTAACAGTATCGTTCCTTGCTGCTCATCACTCACAGTCACTGTCGCTGTCATTGTCACAGTCGCTGCGGCGCACAGTGGTTGCAGCTTCTGTGAGCTGCCACAAAAAACTCGAAGCCTTGAAGCTTTGGGATACATACGTGAGCTAAGCTGAAAAGCCTGAGGCGCCTAAAGTATGTATTTGATCAACGAGCTGAGTTGATCTAGTCATATCCGTGTGGCACTTCTGCCCTCTGTCCGTGTGCACCTCTATTTCTCCTTTTATCCTTCCGGCCGTCCATCTGTTTGTCCGTCCGTCTGTCCGTCTGGCTGTCTGTTTGTCTATCCATCTTCACTTCTATCCCTTCGTTTTTCCCTTCTGCCTGTCCATCCGTCTTTCCGTAATGTATAATGGGTATTTCATAGTCAGGCACGCCCCACAATTGCACTTTTACTTGTGCCACTGTGCAGTCGAGCTGCTTTGCTAGCATATTAACGATGGCGAGCGTGCGGACGCAAAGCGCTCATAAATGCTGCCCCAGCTGGACAGCCGCAAGCCCCAAACTGTGCCACACGCCAAGAGTTTCCCTTTCCACGAAATTTCCCACTTTCAAATTTAATGAAATTTTAAAGGGCGCACGAGGCGTAGCTGCGCCTCAGGGCTTATCGGACGTCTTGCACCTGTCTTGGCCAAGTTTTAATATGACCTTTCTCCTCTCCTCTACTCTCTCTCTCGCTCTCTTAGCTTGACGGGCTGCTCCCGTTCGGATCGCAATCATTTGCAATCGCATTCGCAGGAGCTGAAGTGCCCGACGCCTGGCTGCGATGGCTCTGGCCATGTCACTGGCAACTACTCATCGCATCGCAGTCTGTCCGGCTGTCCGCGCGCCAACAAACCGAAGAGCAAGCCACGCGATGGCCAAGACTCAGAGCCACTGCGCTGCCCGATACCCGGCTGCGATGGCTCTGGCCATTCCACCGGCAAATTCCTTTCACATCGAAGGTAAGCGGAAAGTAGCCGAAAGGCCAGTTCGAACTCGCTAACTCAACGTGTGTTCGTCTACCCCACACAGCGCGTCGGGCTGCCCCATTGCCAATCGCAATAAGATGCGCGTTCTGGAGGCCGGCGGCACAGTGGAACAGCATAAAGCCGCAGTCGCAGCTGCCACGGCCATGAAATTCGATGGTGAGTCAACTGGAAATCTGGCTAAGAAGCAAAGGAATTTAACATTTTCAATACCTTTGACATCGGAAAGTGTTAAATATAAGTTTCAAGTAGTTAAACAGTGCATAATATGGAAGTATATAGCCAAACTCTTATGCTTTATAGGCTGGCCAGACAAGAGTGTTACTATTTTCGATGACTATACTTCAGTAACTGCTGGAGTTATCGATAACAGATTATTCTTGAAACACTCTATGAGCTTTGCCATTTGATCAGAAAATGTTTCGCAACTGCCAAACATTTAGTTTCTATGCTCGATTCTCAGTCTAATCTAATTCGCTTTCGAGTGCACACAAAAGCCAACTTCAACTGTTCCAACTCAACTTCAGGCAACCTATTGCAGAAAGTATTCTCTCTGAAAAGTACCTCAAAGAGCCCAAGTCCGAAACTTCAATTTGTTTCCTTTTGAACACCAAATTTCTTAGAAGAATTTGCAGCAATGTAACTAAAACACTCCACTCATTTGATCATGATCAATGAGTCATGATCAATGATCAAAGAGCAATGAGCAATGCGCAATGAACAATGAGCAATGTGCAATGATCAATGATCAATGATCAATGACTAATGATTAATAAATAATGATCAATGATCAATGATTAGTGATTAGTGATCAATAATCAATTAGCAATGATCAATGATCAATGATCAATGAACAATGGACAATGATCACTGATCACTTATCACTGATCAATGAATAATGATCAATGATCAACGATCAATGAATAATGATCAATGATCAATGATTAATGATTAGTGATCAATTATCAGTGATCAATGAACAATGGACAATGATCACTGATCACTGATCACTGATCAATGAATAATGATCAATGTTCAATGATTAATGATTAATGATTAATGGTTAATGATTAGTGATCAATGATCAATGATCAGTGATCAATGAACAATGGACAATACTCTCTTTTATTCATTACCTAACTCTTCTAACTGTTTCTCTCTCTCTCTCTCTCTGTTTCTCTCCCTCTCTCTTCACATTTCCACCTCTTTTTCTCTCTCTTTCTCTCTCCCGCTCTATCTATTTCTCTCTATTCTTTCTGTTTTGTAGCCTGCACCACAGTTGGCAGCCAGGGCATCAAGAAACCCAAGTTCGATGAGGTTACCATGGTATATCCCAAAGGCTATACAGGTAAGTGTGAGCGCCACAGCTCACTATCAAACTTCCTCTTTCTCTTTCCTCTCTCTGCCTCTCTCGATCTATCCTACTCTCTCACTCTCTCTATATCTATCTCTTTTTGGCCAACCCGTTTGGCCTTTTTGTTAACTGTGTCACACATAGTTCAAGTCACTTGCGTGTTTTTCTGTTATGAACCTGGGCTTACAACGGTTATAATGCCCTAACTGTTTCTTCAAGTGCTGGGGCATCATAACATTCGAATTAAGTACGCAACACAAGCAGAGGAAAGCAGCACACATTTTGAGCAGAGAACACTCTATTCAACTGAAACATGGTCAGAACTCATTGGAAATGACTCAAATATGATTCATATTGGATTCAAATGATTTGGAAAGAAATTTATATGTGATTAATATGTAATTTAAATATGAATCGAAATATGATTAAAAAATGATTAGCAATTTGATTCTTATATGAGTTGACTATGATTCAAATATGAGTTGAAGCATGAATCTACAATCATTTAGAAAGGAAATCAAAAATAGTTCAACTATTTTTAGAGTTAAGAACCAAATATAGTTTGAAATACGATTTTAAATACGATTTGAATCATGATTCAAAAATGATTCAAATATGACTTAAAATATGATTCAAATTGATCAATTTTGTGGTATATTTTAAATACCAACATTTAAACTGGATTCTGACTGTGCTCTGAGAATTTGTGTTCTGTTGTCTCGCATCTGTCTTTTGTTGTTGCTCACTTCTTTCTATCTTACTCGCTCTACCTCGCTCTCTTTCTCTTTGCCTCACTCACACTCTCTCTATCTCTCTGTGTGTCTTTGCGCTCTCTCGTATTGAACATTTTCGGTTGGAATTTTGTGTGCGTGTGTGCTAACGTCTAACAGAACAACAACAAAGAAAAAAATACTTTCGTTTTGGCTTTGGTTATGGTTTCGGTTTTTCGGAATGTGCCAGGCGAAATACCAAAAAAAAAATTACCAAAAAAATACCAAAAAAAAGAAAATTAAATTTTTAATGCGTGCATTTGTTTTATTCTGCAAACAAGCTCAAGCGTACCAAAATATACCAAAATTGACCTTACGACAGACGACAGGGCCGAAAAAAAGTAAAGAAAAGTAAAAGAAAGTCAAAGCCGGTGCATAACATTAATTCGATGCGCCCGATACAGTACAATATACTAAACTAAATACTAACTAACGCTTATACTATACGAACCTCTCTATATATTCACAAATATGTCTGCAACCGTTCACAAATTGTTATTTAAATCCGTTTATCTTCTTCTTTTTCGTTTCGTTTCATGGTTTTTGCTTTTTTGGCAATGTTTTCTTTTAGATTACGCGACGTTTTGTATCGGTGCCGAGTATCTACTGTAAATAGAAAAAAACAGAAAAAAATACTAAAGAATATATAAGAAAAAAGTATAGAACACACAGACAAGCAGAAGGCAGAAAGCATAATGTTTCGAAAAGACAAGATATATAAAAATACCAACAAAAATAAATACCGAAAATGACAAGAATAACAACAACAACAACAACACAAGCAAAAATGAATTTAACTAACAAACAAATTGCACAAGAATCGAACCCAAGGTAAGCCGTGATATTTGCTATCTCACTCACACACACACACACACACAAGCACACATGCACACTCGCTCTCACTCACACACACCCACACACACACATGAAAGCTCCAATTGAGTTGCTAGCACACGCGCACATAGACAACCGTGGAGAGCTTTTGTAAAACAAGAAAAAAAGAAGAAGAAAAAATCAAAGAAAAAAAAACAATTTCAATATCGATCGAGTTCCACATCAAAGAGTTAAAACTATTGCAGCGAGCGTCCATCACTAACGACAAGTATCTCTCTCTCTCTCTTTCTCTCTCACTCGCTCTCTGTCGGTCTCTCTCTGTCGCTCTCACTCTCCCTCTCTGCTCTTTGCCTTACACCACGCCTTCTGCTCTCTTCCTGCTTTAGGCGGCAGCGGCTTGGACATTGTTATGAGCGGCGTCGGTGTTGGCGTCGGCGTCGGCGTTGGCGTTCCTTTGCCGCCTGGCCTTAATAGCAACAACAACAGCAGCAACATCAACAACAACAACAGCAGCAGCAACAGCAACAGCGGCGGCGGCGATAAGACCTCCGTCAACGTGCCTGGCGGCAGCGACGATCTGAACACTTTGGAAGCGGAAATATCGGAGCTGCAGCGTGAAAATGCGCGCGTCGAATCGCAAATGATGCGACTCAAGTCGGACATCAACGCAATGGAGTCGCAGCTGAGCACCAGCGATCGGGTACGTAGGCTCAGGTTCGTTGATCGCAACAAATTTTGAGTATTTTATATAGTAAAAAAGCAAAACATTTAAGCTTAACAGCAACATTAACATTAACATTAACACTAACAGAACACAGTTGTATATGTTCTATAGACATATCATGGAAAGCGCGAATTAACATAGGAAAGGGAACAGCAACAGTAACTTTATCAGTCACAGCTCTCAGCTCAATATGGGTCAAGTCCACAATCTAAGTTCAACTCGTTTAAATAGCGTTAACAGCAAACTAACATTCTCAGCAACAGTAACAGCCATAACCTCAATTAAGTGGGCCAATTACCTAGGTTATCTGCACGCTGTTGGTCATGCGCGATTGCGCAGCGAAAGTTGCGACTTTGTCTGCAACTTTTCTTCTTCATTTTCCTTTTTTTTTGTTTTTTGGCACCTGAGCCGCTGCTTTTCTAAGTTGCGGCCACTTTTCAAGGACGTCTCTAAACTCCAAAAAACCCAAAAGCAATAATAAGGCGTATGTTGTTAACAATAACAACAAACTGAAGACGAAGACGAAGAAGAAGAAAAAGTATAAAAGAAAGCTTTAACAAGAACAACAATATTGTGGAAAAGTCGGCGCAAAAGTCGCCAAACAAAAGTTTTAGCAGCCGCCGTCGCCGCCGCCGCCGACGTCGCTGGCTTGGCAAATGTACTTTTTAACCCAAAACATGGCCAAAGAAAGTTGGGCGACGTCTGTTGGCAAGAAAAACTTTTATTATATTTAAATTATCGCGCCCTGGCTGTTGCACAAATAGCAAAGTTATGTTTTCTTCGCTTTTCTTCTGTCTTTCAACTTCCGTTTTCACTTGGAAATTAAGCGCATTTTTCTGCTATTTTTGGCATGTTTGCATTTTGCACTTAGTATTTCAGCTACGGCTGGCCAATGATCGAGTGCAGCGACCTCTGTCGTGTGTCATTGCAAGGCCGTATTCAAAATGGCGGCACAGCGGCGGCAGCAGCAGCAGCCAATCGGCGTTGGCTTGCAGGCAACTGCTGCAGCCGTTAGTCGCCTGCATTGAGCGACGAATCAGCGCACAGCAGCAAAGGCAGCGCCACCCCTAAAACGTACAATTTAGCTCCCACTCTACGCATGCCAGGTCCCTAAATACACACACACACACACACACCCATATATATACATATGTGTATGTGTGTGGTCATGCGCAGGCAGCTGCAGCTATGGGTGTGGGCCTCCCCACCTGCCCAGTCAATAGAGTCGGTCTCTGGGTATCCATCCGTCTGGCCGCTGTCAGTCGCAGTCGGCACCAAAAACGATGCCGAGGCAGCAAATCGCAGAGCGCCATTCGATTTGCTGTTGCTGCTCCTAAAATGCCAGCTAGCTAGCTACCCCACTGCAAACTGTGCTACAACGCCAACGGCAGCGTCGGCGCCAGCGCCGGCAGCGACGTCGACTGCGTAACCTCTGTGGCCTCGGCACGAGGTCTCGTTGCTCCTGCTCCTATGAGAGCGAACAAAAAATTACGTTTGATGTGTAAAGCGAAAGGAAAACGAAAAAAATACCTCTGCAGCAGAGGCAAGGCAGCGACTGCGGCAGCGACAGCGACAGCTTAAACAGCAGTTGGTTGCCTCGCCTGGCTCCCGCGCTCTTGCGCTCTCTCGCTCTCGTGCTTGTTCTCGCTCATACTTGCCAGCTCACTCACACGAGGGGTTTTCGTGTGCATTCGGCATGCGCTCGTGTGCTTGTGTGTCCGTTTGCTTAACGTTTTTTCTTTCTTTCGTGCAGTTATTTTTTTCGGATTTCTTTTTTTTTCGAATGCTACTGGCCGGGCGTTCTTATTGGAATATCAATTTGGGCACGCACACACACACACGCCTGCAGGCACATGCGTACATGTGTGAATGTGTGTGCAGCAGCACCTCAGCAAATTGAATTTGAGCAATTGGCAAAGCGTATCATTGAATCAATGAATCACAATTGACACGCACACACACATATGTAAAGTGACAGCCAATGACCAATCACTAATACATATGCATTGCATCCCTCTCTCTCTCTCACTCACACTCTTGCAGGAGGCTTCTCCATTGAGCGCACATCAACAACATCAACAACAACAGCAGCAGCAGCAACAGCAACAGCAGCAACAACAACAGCAGCGACCCACAGCTTCATCGCTGGCCTCACCCAGCGGCCAGTCACCGTTCGCCGGCGTCTCATCCACTACCAGCGGCAGCGGCATCGATCTACTGCCTAGCGGCATGTCGCACGTCTCCACCGACGGCGGCGTCGGCGGTCCGCCCAATGCCAATCTGAACAACTACTACGAAAGCTTGCGCAACAATGTCATCACACTGCTGGAGCATGTGCGTCTGCCCCCGCCGCCGCCACCGCCATCGTCGTCATCACTGCCACCAGGCGCTGCGCCCGGCTCTGGCATGGACAATGGCTGTGGCGCCGCCATTGGCGTGCAGCTGAGCGCGGAGCATCATCATACATCAGCTGCGGCTGCGGCTGCATATTCAACGCTGTTGCCGCCACCTCCGCCGCCGCCGCCACTGCCGTTGCCGCCAACATCGGCGTCATCGGCGACAGCGAACAGCGCCGCAGCGGGCACGCCCATGTATGGGCATCAGGGCGGCGGCACTGCCGTGGCACCACCGCCACCACCGCCGCCACCGCATCACGCTTATACAGTGCATCATCCGGGCGGCTATCCGCACGGACATCCGCATGCGCATCCGCATCCGCACGAGCATTTCGACTCGTACATCTCGAAGCTGCAGTCGCTCTGCGTGCCGCCCGACGTCTACGCTCTGCCCGATGACGGCGGACGACCCGTCTACAACTCGGTCAAGCCGAACATGCACCAGGACTACGGCAAGCTGATGCCCACGCCCATCTAAGGCGCTCCAGGGTTGCGTGCGTGTGTACATAATACCATAAACAAGGACGCCGATCATGAATCATTATGAATCATCGTGATTCAATCGGTGTCTTCTACGTGGTAAATGAGTTTTTCAATTTCTTTTCCCTTCAGTTCGAATGCAATGCAAATGAATCATGGGCAATGTGCTTCGAGTCATGAGAGGTGACTCATGACTCTTTTAAATCAACTTTGTTCTGCGGATTACTTTATGGTTGAATTGAGCTGAGTTGAGTTGAGTGAATGCAACATTCATTTCATGAATGAATCGAATGAGTTATGCATATTAAACATGATTTTTGCATTATGAATCATCAGCTTCGGAAGCTATTAGTCATGAATGATGTATTTTAAATCACAGCTTCCAAATCATTGTGAATTGTTAATCAAAATTAATATAATACGAATTGAGTGCAATGAACCTTTAATTGAAGACATGAATTATGAGTTATGAGTTATAAGCTATTTTTAGCGAGCCAAGAGTTATGGGTCATGAGTCATGAATCATGAGTTATGAATCATGAATCAAAAAGATACGTTTTGAATCATGAATCGGTGTTCGATTCATAAACATAAACATAACTTGTTTCATAAGTCATGATTCATGATTTATGATTCATGAATCATAATTTGTAACCCCTGAAAATGACTCCAAATCAAATGCTGTGAAGAATCAGCAATTTTTGTCATAGTCATAGGCTATGAATCATAAAATCCGATACTGCCGCCTGGAAATCTATCGTTTTTTTTTTAATTCCTGATGCAATTGTTCTTTTGAATCTTAACATGCACAAAACATGATTCAATTGAATCGAATCAAACGATTTCTTGATCGAATCTGTGTGAGCTGATAAGCTAAGATACATTATAGAACTAGATAACGTATAGAGATGTCGAGAGACGTGCAGAGAGACGTTGAGTGTAGCGTAGATTGAGCTGTTCCACGTTTATGTCCTAGGCGCTTCGTCGTGTTGATAAATTGTATAAAATATGTTAGCAAAACTGAAACTTAAACTAAAACTAATACTAAAGCTAAATCTAAATATAAATGTGTTGTATTTTTTTTTTTTTTTTTTGATTAGTAACCGTATCTGTATCTGTATCTAATACTAACTAGCAGTTAAATATAGTAGAAAGACATTCGTTTTTTTTTTTTGGTGTTTGATATCTGGTCAATTTTGTATTACAAGAAAAACAAGAATTAAAAACTAAAAAAAATTTAAAAAAATACCAAGAATATTAAATTTAGTTAGTTGTACGGAAAAGGTCTAACACCAAAAAAAAAGAAGAAATATATATATAAATATCTATATATATATATATATATATATATATATAGATATATATATATATATATTTATATAAATATATATATATGCAATTATAATCAACAGTCAACTAAACGTTTTTTTTTTAATCTTAATATTAGAACCTATATATATATAATATATAATCAACTATAAATACTAAGTACTCAAAGAAATATGCACAAAAACATACACACACTCGCACACACACACAAACACTTCCACAACTACTCTATATATATATACATATATATATATACTTGCATAAGTTTTAATGTTAAAAAAAAAAAACAAAAATCTAAAAAAAAACTGTATTCGATATCAATGCAAGCAAAATCTATTAACAAAAAAATTAGTTAAAACAAGAAGAAGTACTAAAAAAATACAGTTCAGTGCAATAAATTGAAAGCAAAATGAGGAAAATATTTAAAATTAAGTAAAAGTAGTTGACATTTTTTTTTGTATTGTATTACGTACTTATAAATAATATGTATAACTTAATATAACAAATAATAATTATATGAAAAATACCAAAAAATACCAACAACACGAACAAAAAGCGTAAGGAAATTTAGACGAATTTTAAAACAAAAAAAAACACAAATAGCAGGCTTAAAAATCATTGTATTTAAAATATACCAAAAAATACCAAAAAACGACATAAAAAGTAATTAAAAAACACTATAAATATACGATTATAAATAAATATATTAATATATATATATATATATATATATATATATATATATATATATATATATATATATATATATATATATATATATGTATATGTATATATGTATATATATATATATATATATATATATATATATATATATATATATATATATATATATATATATACATATATATATATAATAATTATACATATATGTAATATGTATTGTATAACAAGAATTCTGTAATTTATAAAATATTTTATGTGATCATTGTCATTTTTTTTTAAATATAATATTACAAGAAATAAATAATTCAAATACAAATAAAGGATATATAAATATCTGTGTTTTTTTTTTTCGATTTATCTGAGCTCATTTTCGGCTCATAGCTGTTAAATACGAGATGTACTCAAAAACTATCGCAAAGTCGTGATTTTTCTCTTGTTTTTTGTGATCTTGTTTATCTCATGGTCTCATGGGCCTCTTTAGTTCTTCGAGCATAAGACACCAGTTTTGGTCTGCAAATCCAATGCCACTGGTGGGGCACGTAGGAGTGTCAACTCTAAAATATCTAAAATCGAATACGAAACACGCGGATATGCAACAAGAACAATACTTTTCGAACAGACCTCGTATATGGGCTGTCTTAAATATAAAGATGGCAACTCTCATTTCCCCAATCAAATGTGCACCTCTAACTCCGACTGTCAAGCATTTCAGTCCGCCATTGCGACACTTGCATGAGCAGCGGCAAAAGCAAGACTAAAGAAGCAACTGACAAAGCAAACATAAGGCAATTGCAATGGCGATTCTATTTATAGCATGCCAATGAGCATGCACGCATTTCAATGTATGATCACACTATTCTATTTATAACATGCCAATGGGCAAGCATCAGACGTGTGTATGTGTGCTCATGTATAGAGCGAGCGCTTGTATGCGTACGTGTGTATGTGTGCTCATGTATAGAGCCTGTGCTTGGAGCTAATTGCCACAAGATTTTGACTGATTGACCAAACGTTTTCTTTAATAACTTCTGTAATCCTCAATGGATTTCAATCAAGTTTTGATCAACGAATCAGAATAACCCATTTAATAAGAATAAATTGACAAGAAAATGGCCACTTTTTTAATATTGACTACAATTGCAACTGAACTAATGCGATACAGCATATAAACACTCGGTCTCTACCACGCCTTCTTCCAACCTTTGCACAAAACTTATATACCCTTTTTAAGCATTTACAATGATTGTAGGGTTTCAGCAATAGACAGCAAAGAGTTGGCATAGTATTTAAAAGCAATTTCATTGCATTAGCGCAAATCACATAAATCAGAAGTGGAAGAAGAAGAAGAAGCAGCAGCAGCTGCAATCCAAAATGAAAACTGAGCCAGATTTGGAGAAAATATTTTCATTTTCATTTTTATTTTATGTTTTTTGGCAACGTTTTTAATTTCAATTAGCACGGCGACAACAAACCGGAAGCTGCAAGGGAAGATTGGTCAAGCTAACAAGGTCAGGGGAGGGGATAGAGGACAGGGGTCAGCTGGAGGTAAAAAAGGGGAAAATGCTTTTTGCCTTTGCTTGGAAGCCACTTGATTTATGTGGCTTCATTAGACATTCCGCACATAGCCAAAACGCAAGGGAGAGGGCGAGAGGCAGAGGTACAGGCAGCGGGAGAGGGAGAGAAGGCAAAGGCAAGCTAAGTGATTGCCAAAAAAAAAAAAAAACTAAATGCGTACAATTAGAACGGCTAACAGTCAAACGCATTACTTTGTCATGCCTAGCAGCAAGGGAAATGGCATGACCATTGTGCAGCATAGTAGTTTCTATACCCTGGACCCTGAACAGGGCGTATTGGTTACCTGCAACTGCATGTAACAAGCAGCTAGAGTCAAAAGGCATCGAGCTGAGTCCTCTGTCTGTCTAGCAGTTTGGCTATCTATTCGTGCTACTGTCTAGCCGTCTGTCCGTGCGTTCTGCCGATAAAACCGTTCTGCCCGTCCCTCTCTCTGTCTCATTCTTTTTCCATCGATAACTCAGCAAATTTTCTTACTATCGATACAAATTCGATAGCTTTAAGCATAGCTTGAAGGCCAACAAATCGAAATTGAGTCGCCTTTGCGGCATACCTCAGCCCAGCACAGCCTAAATTTATATAGAGAAACCCAATTTCAATCTCTACCAAAGAAGTGGGCACGCTTCAGGGTAGCTGCTAGTCGAGCATGCCCAACTGGAGCACGATTTCTTGCTGTTAGTTTGAATATTGACCAGCATGGAATATTTTTGGTTGCCATCAAAACATGCTGAAAAAAGGACCACAAACAACTGCCAACTGTGTGCGAGTGTGTGTGTGTGCGAGTGTGTGTGTGCGAGTGTGTGCGTGTGGTCTATAAAAAGGTTCGCTGTTTGTTCGTGTGAGCCGCAAAAATATTTGCATAGTTACCTTTAATGTGGTTCGACAACGTTTTAGACTTCAAATTTGTGGACGGATGGGTGCCGCAGAGGCAGCGTCGTGGGCTGGGCCAAGGGGGCGTGGCATGGGGCAAAGGGGCAAAGGGGCAAGCCGGCTGTCAATAGACGCCATGCAAAAGTTCTTCAACAATATAAACGGAACAAAAGTTTTCTTTGCACACACACTCACACACACACACACGCACACACTTGCTGCATGTAATTTAAAATGAAAAATTCTATTCTTTTGACACACACTCGCACACACACACACTGCACAACAAGCATTGATTTCATTTGCATAAATAAGAGAAGAGAAAAAATGTGAAAAGACTTTTCATTAGCATCCGAGAGCCCCGGCAGACATATGCCAATTGCAGCTATATATGCATATATATATATATATCAGTATCAGGCTGTATATAGAGCAATACATAGCCTTATCTTGGCCTTGATACACATTATATGCGAATAGACTCTAATGAAAAATGAAATCTTAACACATCTAGGGGCTGTCCCAGCAAGTGTGTCAGTGTTATCGATAACTATACTGCAGCAGCTATTTAAGTTATCGATAACAACTT